CTTCTTTCTGCCGTGTCGCCACCACCCGTCTGAGGGAGTCAGGGAAGAATCAAAGCTATGGTGGTAATCCTTGCCATGTCACACGGAATTCTAGAGGGAAGAAGTGCTCGAGTGCTTTCAGAGAAAAGGAGAAAATCAGCCAGAAGACCATGGACACTGATGAAATAGCACTATAATTCCCCAACTAAACTGCCAGACATCTTGAGCTGGCATCCATGGAACCAACAGGAAGGCTGTGCTTGCTGGGTCCAAACACTCTCAGAGTCCAGCCGTAGAATATGGTGTTGTATTGGCTTAGGAGAATTAAACTTCAGAGAAATCTGGCTGAAAAAAAAGTTGGATATCAGTTTGTCTTTGCCTTTGTTTTGTTTCAAGACAGGCTTCTCTGTGTTGCCTTGGCTGTAATGGAATTCTCTCTGTAGACCAGGCTGGCCTTGAACTCACAGAGATCCACCTGCCCCTGCCTCCTGAGTGCTGGGATGACAGGTGCGTGCTGCCACAGTCACCGCTGTAGCCACCTGGAAGGATGGCTTTGGAAATTTCTGAACAGCTCCAGCTGTTCACAGGGCCCCCACGGAGGCTGCTGCAATTTAAGGGTGCTCTTCTGACCGGGTTACCACCAACCCATGTCCTCTTTACCCCTGCGTACAATCAGTGGCTCAAAGTCAGAAGAATCTGCACAAGGGCGTCGCCTGTATACTTCTACTTCTCTATATCCTACATGGTTCTTGGAGAGCTTCTAGTTGGTATTTGACAAAGGTCTCAAGTGATTTGGTGAGATGGTAGGGCCCTTACCAAGCCATCTGGCACAGTAAGACACCATTTCTTCTATTTAGTCTTTGTTGGCTTGAGATATAAATGATCTATGAGAAGTTAGTTCTTCATAGCAAATGCTGAGCCTTGTGGTTCAGCAAACCCATGAGCTTCTCAGAAGACTAGAGGACCAAATATTTTTGTTTTCCATTTGTTTGATAAGTATGTTGGAGGGGAAGAGAAAAGTAAGAATAAGGGGATATGCTATGAGTTGTGGTCTTGAAGGGCACATGGAGTGAGAAATAATATACCAAGTGGGGTACTGGGAAATACCAATGCAAGATGAGCCTCAGGGCTTTCTGGGAATCCCAGTTTAGTTTAAGGTAGGGCATCAGAGGAGGAAGTGTTTTTTTTTTTTTTTTTCTTTTTTCCATTTCAACCTGGAAAACTCATAGTGAACAGCACAAGTGCCCCGTCCTTGGTTTCTTCCTGTGGGGGACATACCCTTGAAATTCAGCTCTTGGAACTTGAACCTGATAGAGTCACTGGACTCCTTCATCGAAGGCTAGGGACTTGAGATGGTGTGAAACAGGAGGCTTTGAGAGCCCTTTCAGAACTGCTAAGCCAGGCAGAATATTGGGGACAAAGATGGTCAGTTCCCAAGTCCTTCCACAGTTCTAAGTTCTTTTTTCTGTTGATGCCTGAGCTCCTTTCAGGAGTTCCAGAACCAAGTCCCTGCTGAACTCTGAGATCAACCCAAACACTGTGCTGAGACCTTCGGGTGATTTGTAGGTTCGACAGGTTCCAATTACGAGGCGGCAGACTTCCCAGATCATTGTTCAGTTTGTAGTTCTCGGCTTACAGGTGACCAAACAGCTTTTCCAATTTATTTTTTATTTGTGTGTGTGTGTGTATGTGTCTGTCTCTGTGTGTGTCTGTGTGTATGAATGATGTGTATGGAGAGGCACACATGCTTGTTCAGGTCAGAAAACTCATTTGTGGAAGTTGGTTCTCTTCTTCTGCCTTTACCTGAGGATCAGACTAGGTCTCTCGGCATGTAATGCGAGCCATTTACCTACGGCACCACCTCACTGACCCCCTAAGTGGTTTTTGGTTAGATGCTGTTCACCGTGGAGAAAGTAGGAAAGCACAGGACTGTTTTTCTACCACCATGGTGACCTTTCCCTCACCAAATAACTCTTGAGGACATGCTCCCTGCCTCTCACTGTCTTAAAAGCTTCATCATGGAGGGGTTGGGAGCTGGGGAGGTGGTTCATTTCTTTCCACACACAAAGAGCCAGATTCAGATGCTCAGCACCCCTGGGGTGTAGGGGACATGGTAGATCCCTGAGGTTTGCCGCCAGTTGGTCTTGACAAATTGGTGAGTTCTAGGGTCTCAAGAAAAGGTGGACGGCTACTGAGGAAGATAACTAACGCTGGCCGCTAGCCTCCATACGCACACACATGTGCACACGCATGAGTATACACCACATATACACACAGAAGGGGAGAGGAAAAGGGAGGCGGAAGAAGAGGAGGGGGTGAGAATTGTGGTGGTGTGGACTCAGGAGGTGGGAGTAGGAAGATCTCAAGATTGAGGCTAGCTTGACAACAAAGCGAGACCCTGTGTAACAGAAGAAAGAAGAGAGCAGAAGGGAGGGAGAAGAGGATGGAGGGGGAGAGACAGAATGTGAGAGTAAAAGAGCCCAGACTGCGGTTAGGCTGTTTTGGGGGCCAAGGCCAGGGGCAGTGCGGGGGAGGAAGAGAGCCCTCCAAGTTACATATAGTACAAGCCGAGAAAATATGTATAGAGTACGGACTTTGAAGAAAGCGAGTTTTCCTTTCTGTGCGGGGGGGTGGGGGGGCCACTCATCCGCTCTTGCCCTTCCTGCGCTGGGTGTGGGTTTGCAAGCTGCTGTGCTTGACTCAGGGCCCTGTACCGACATGCCCGCCCTGAGGCAGACGGCACACCGCTCGCTATGTGTGTGGCTTGTGAGGCAAGGCTCTGCTCTTGACATCCGGCCTTCTAGGCCTTGCTGCGTCAGCGCTAGTACACGAGGCATCTAGATGTAGGGGAGCAGCTGAGCCTCGCACAGTTTCCCAGCAGGCAGTGTGTCACCCATTCTGGTCAATTCTGAAAGCAGACAACTCTTCCACTCCCTCCCTCCCCTTTAAAAATCATCAGGAAGGGGGCCTCTGCCTCCTTCCCAGGAAATGTTGGACTCAAAATCACAAATCAAAAGGGGATCCCAAAAGTCATCCAGACATTTTTTTCTCCACACAGAAAGGATAAAACAGCTATACTCTCAGTTGAAACAGTAAAGAACTACCCTGGAGAGGAAAAAAAGACCTTGTCTTGACTTTCAGTATATCCTGGCTAAAACATTGTACAGCAGTAGTTAAAAAGCTCACTAAAATAGCAATCTGAAGTTGGTGGGGGAGGTGGCAAGTGGATCTGGGTGGAGTTAGAGGCAAGAATTGAGCTGGGGGTGAATGGTGAGAATACATTGTATGAAATTCTCAAAGAATTAATAATACTGTATTAAAATAATAACCAAACCTGACACGTGGGTTTGAGATTAGAATTCCTTTGACTCAGTCGTCCCACAGTCAGGGGAGGCGGGAGGTCCATCAGTCAGCGTCCTGCGCCAGCACACAGCTGTCAGCAGGTGGAGCCGGCTCAGGATTTTTTCTATGTGGAATCTGTTGAGCACACCTTTTTTTTCCTGCTGTCTTCTGGGTAGGCATGGACTCAGTGATGCTATACTGTCTGAGTTGAACATCTAGGGAGTCTGGAGGACCCAGATTGCCTTACCATCTTTTAGATTTGAAAGTGACTAGGTACTGAGATGAGCAAAGCCATTAACGGTTGGGTCATCCTAGATAGGGAAGAACGGATGTGCTATCCTAAGCTCTGGCTGCCCTTAGGTCACTCTTGATGACTCGGTTTGTGGCTCTAGACTTGGGCTTCTCAGACTGGCTGGGAGACTGACCTCCTTTTCCAGGTCTGGACCAGTGACTCCTTGCTGAGCTCCCATGAACTGCAGCCAATGCCTTCTGGCTGACAAAGCAGGGTTGTCACTGGTAAGTGTTTATGTTGCACTTTAGGTCTGCAAAGTTCTTTCTCCGAGGTTCTTCTTTCCTCTGTGTCACAGCTGAAGAAACCAAAACCCACAGAGGTGGTGACGGACTGGCCCAGGTCAGCAAGTTAGCAGCAAAGCTGAAACGGAGTTTCTGGGTGATTTCTTAACCCCGTCATTCATACAGCTTCTTGAGATGATGTTATTTTGCCCCTCCACCAATTTCTTTCGAAATTTTGCTGGGTTCTTTTTAGAGTGAGCTGTAGGTTTTCCTGGGTTCAGGCTGCAATCCATTACTGGTGAGCAGACAGCCATAAGCAAGTGGGGGAACTCTATCTCAGGTGCCCCCCCTCGTGGAATTTGTCCTCAGTCAGTGTGAGTATGCTGTGGCAGTAGGGGGAGGGGTTGAACCGTTGTCCTGCGCTGTTCTGGACCATGAAAGGTACTGGAAACAGAGGTATAGGAAGCAGAAGAAGGGTTCTAGCAAAATCTTAGTGTGTTGCCTAAAGAGGAGTGTTAAACAAATTGAACTAAAAGAATGTTTAATTTTGTGTTTAAAAGTTGAGAGGTTTTTGGCTTCTTCTCCAGACTCCACTAGTGACACCAGGGTGTTATCTTGCCAGTAAAGCACAGAGAGACACTGGTGAAAATATTGAACATTTTCCCTCCAGAAATGCCACAAATCTTACCATCTGTTATTTAGAGTAATCATTTAGATTAATTTTTTTTTTTCTGTATGACTTAGTGTCCTTTTAACCTAAATCACCTCTGCAAAATACAGGTGTTGGAAGGAGATTGGTGTCTGCATGCCTGTCTTCGTGAAATATTCAAAAATAAAATCTCTCATTTGCTTCCCTCCTCCAACTGTACATTTAATCAAGAGGATGAATGGCTGTGTTTCCAGTAACTGATAGCCCTCCTCTCTAAGCATTCAGACAGCCTTTTGGATATTGCTAAGTGTTCGTGGTAGAACTAACAATACGGGCAAAACAGGAAGAAGCGTCTCTACGCTGGATAGGATGCTCAGAGTCCCCCACCACTCTCCCAGGGAACGCTCTTCAGCTGACTGAAGCAGGGAAGCCGAGCCAATCAGAGGCCGCTTTCCTAGCTCTGTCACCAGTCTGTGTTTGAAGAAGGCTTTTGCTTTTTATGCTCTGTATTGGGGAGGCAGATAAAATGCCAGGTCTGGATGTCTCTGGGGACAACCTCGCCCTGTGTGATGCGAAAGAATAGCATCTTGCCTGGTGAATCCACAGGAATTGATAAGGCAGGCGCAGTTCTTCCAGAGAGGCCTTTGCTTTTTTAGCTCTAGCTGTGGTTTCTGCAGCAGTTTTGTTTTCTGCCTTAAAAGAGGTGCTGTGGATTATCAGACCTCCATGTATGACAATTTGTACCTGCATGGAGTTGAAGACTCGGAGGCTGTAAGTATTTCATAGATAGCCGGCTCCCTCTCTCCTCCTCTTCCTCCTCCCACTCCCCCCTCCTATTTCTTAGGCAACGCAGGAAACATGGAGCTGAAAGCCAACAGCATTGGGGTGCTTGCTGGCAGCTATGTATTCTCTGTGTAGTTTTGCAGCTAACTGAATTATTATCAAGCAAAAGGGAAATTAACTTGACAGCGAAGGCATCTAAGAGAATAGGTTGTTGGGATTTCTGTGTGACCAGGGCCACGCTTGATTCACCAGGGGTAACTGCCCCTTGTAGACTGACTTAAACTATGCAGAAAGTGCTGTTTTTCCAGTAGCAGGGTTCATAGGAAAGACTCGTTCATTATATAAGAACAGTGTTTGTTGAGCTAGCATGAATGGAAGGTCCTCAGCTGTGGCTCTGTTATTATGTGCTTACTGGCCAGACAAGCAGTGCCGTTTCTGCTGCTTCTTTGTTAAGGAAATCAGATGCAAAGGGTCGCGTACACAGTACTCCAGTGCAGAGGCGGTAGGTGATGTCCCCACACTCTGCCCTGGAAGACCGAAGTGAACTCGTGTGTGTTTGGTCTCAGAAAACTGGACTCCTGTCCCCTGATAGGTCAGCCCCCTGCAATGTTTTACCATCAGGACGAAAGGGTTTTCTGCAATCCCAGAGTTTGGAGCATAGTGTGCTGTCCAGTGTGCATAGAGGTTAAACCTGATGGCTGCATTCTTCCTTTTACTGTGGATGGTGTGGTAGCACCTGTTTTTGCATCACTTCATAGGAACCTCGCGAGGAAGGCTGATTAGGGGCGGCCCATGGGACATGCCGTGGGGCGTCTGAATTTTATGAGTGTAATGCCATGCATGCTGCCACATCCAAAACAGAAATGTGTTATATAATGTTCTCTGGCTAAATCACCCAATAAACAGATTATAACAGAGAAAAAGAACCCTATGGCATACGTCAGTGTAGATGTATGCCTCACAACTGCCGTCCACGAAAGGCAGCAGCCCTCGGTTCTCATAAGGCTGTTTTCCCTTTCCGTCTGTGTCAGCTGGAACTCTAACTCTTCTCCTGCAAACTTTCTCTCTGCATTTCACCCAACGTGCTGCAAAATGACCAGATTGCCAAGTCTTTGCAAGGGTCTGTAGTCTGTAACGTTGGGGAGTCAAGAAGGCCTGTGCTTGCAGGTAGGGTCAAGGAATGGAAGAGACTTAAAGAGTTTAGTCAACCAGTTTCCCAGCTAGGTTCTTCAGGAGGCCTGACTATATCTTGCACTCTGTCTCCGTGCCCAGTTATAAAACATGCGCTGTCTCATTGAGTTGTAAGTTTTATTTTTGACCATGATTTTAAACTTGGGCAGCGTTGCTGTGAAGTGGATTGGAGTTTGTTTTCTCTCTTCCAGAAATGCTTTTAGAAACCAGCTGCTGCAGGCAGCAGAGTTGCCTAGGAACTAATGTGTGCAGCTCCTTGTTCTCTAGAACTGTATGAATTTCAGATGCACCGGCTCAGAGGGGAACCATTATAAGTACAGAAACATTTGTTTTTCCTCTTGGTCCAGCCTCCCAGGACAGCAGCTTTTCCTGTAGGGTGGGAAGGAAAGAGTGCAGTGGCTTGTCTTGCGGCTCTAGCTGATGTTGGGTAGTGCTAGTACCGCAGTGCTGTGTTCCCAGTGACTCAGTGGTGGCCAGCAGAGAGACTGATCTCCTGGGCCTATGTACATGTGTGGAGGTGAGGAAGGTGGACAGACAGAGGAGTGAAGGAAGGCGTCTGGCCAGTTCTCAGTCGAGAGTCCGGGAGGCTTTTGGGGATGGGATGAAAACCGCAGCACATAAATCAGAGGGGAAGACGGAGATGTTCGGAGGGCTGACCTGACCCTGAATGCTCATTCGAGTTTATTTGTTTTTATAAGGAAGAATAATGTGATGTGTTACCCAAGATGGTGTGAACAGAGCTTCAAGCCAATGGAGAAGACTAGGCCTAAATAGCAGAGCCGGTGGAGTGCCCAGATAAAGCCACACCTGGAGTGCCCCATCCTCGGCAGTCCCTCTCAGTGCCAATGCATTTATGGCTGTAAGTGTGGGGTTTGCCCAGACCAAAGCAGAGCTCTTGGAACAGATCTGCAGGATCGGTGTGGAGAGGCTTCGCTTAGGTGGCCAGCTGCAGCCTGAGGACGGATAGGCACTAAGAGCTCAGAACGGCAGGCCCTGTGGGGTGCTGGGGAGCCCCTACCACGCTGTACTACTGCAGATCTTGTGGGGTGTATGGAGATCAGCATGTCAGACATGCTTCTGGTGTGTGCCGTGAGTCTGTAGCAGATCATCTTACCTGCAGACAGATGTTTTACTGTATGAATAAAGCGTTCGTATACATCTCGACCCTATGGTCTGAGAGATTTTGGCACTGTAGTGGGAGAGGTTTTCTTAAGGGTCTGACCCACAGATAGATATTTTCCTAGTAGGGCCCTAGATTGAAACCTGTAGCCTCCGTCTCTCACTGTCCATGTAAGAAAGGAGAGAGACACACGCTGGGACAGTTCAGTACGGACACATCGGATTCTTTAGTCCTGAGGAGCCAGTTTGGACAGATCTGTTAACTTCGTCTCTGATTTCCAGGAAGGCAGCAAAGGGCCAGGAACATTTCCAAATATAAGAAAATACGGATTCCATATAGGCTGTCACTTCACTTTTTTTCCCCCCCTGAGGATGAAAACCAGGACTTGTGAATTCCAGGCAAAGATTCTACCACTGAGCTATGCCCACAGCCCACATTACTTTGTGGGTCACCCTAACCCTGACAATGTAGTATGCACTTGAGTCTGTGCAGACACGAGGTCACATCCCATGGGTCATGTACACAGGCTGTCACTGGCATCTGTGTAAACCTTCTCTGCCACCCTGCACCCTGCTTTTACTGCTCCAGTATATCTAAATACGGGTCCTGGTGGTTTCTGATACAAGCAATTACAGGAATTTTTGTTTGTTTGTTTTAAAATAGGAATGAATAGGGAGAGCTAAAAAGCTGGAAAAGCTCCCTGAGACCCACCGCTCTCAGATAGTCAGTGCTTACTGTAACGTGCTGCCGTCAGCCGTTAGTGCACGTCCGCGTAAACGGGTGGTTCTCAGCCTGCTAATGTGTGTTACGTCCCGGTCTGTTAAGCGCTGTCGTCCCCTGACTGAATATCAAGCATACCAACACTGGCACTGACCTGAGCGGATGGTGCTTTGCGCAACCACGTAGAATTTTGAGTGACTTAAAGGAAACACAGACTCTCAGAGCATTTTGCAAAGTGAAGCCAGGAATGGATCATGCCTTAATTCAAAGCCTTTATTACAGAGGAGAACACAGTTCTTAAGCATTTTTTTCAGTTACAGAAAGGAAACATAAGGAAGTTACCAGTAGAGGTAGCGCTAAAAGATAAAGTGAAAGGAAGTTGTACCAATTATAATGTCTGTGTTGCGTTTGAATGTGTATATAAGAAGCATGTATTTAAATCTATATGCACTAGTCACTATCCTAAGGATAACTATGTAGTAAATTTCCAAGATATTAATTTTCAGTGAACTGTATGTTTGCTTGTCTAAATGTCTGTGTACCCACATGTGTGTATGTGCTGTGCAGTCTTGTGGATCACGCAATCTTTATATGGCCCTGCTTCATGCTTTGCTAATTGATGGTTGATACAAAAAGGGCAGATTTTTACCGTAGAAATTTTGGAGAAGGGAAACGAACTGCTTCTGATGTGGACAAAGACACCCAAGAAGGTTGAAAAGCCACGTTTCTACAACAGACTGAGGGACTGCCGATTTCAAAGGTACCATGAAGTTGTTTTATATATGAAAACTTTCTGGGGGCAGAAAGTCTTCACAATCCATTTCTGGAGTATGAAAACTGCTCTGTGACTGAGGTAAAGACTGGGTTCTGGTCTCACCACCTAGAGAAGTCAGTTGAACACTTGTAGTTTTTGTGAGAGATCTGACTGAGACATGTATTTGTTTCACTCAGCTGAGCTACTGTGGTAGTAAGGCAGGGTCTGTGAAATAAGTGATGCCTACAGCCTTTTCTTCTGCCAGATTCCTATAAATGACGGTTTTCTAAAATATGTATTGAAATGATTACCATATTAAATTGTTATGACACTAAGAGTGGAAATTCTTAAATTTGACCAGAACCCATGAACTTGCCCCCCTCCTGCTACTTTCTTGTTAAGTTTTCCGTTTTGGGGTGACAGATGAAAATATAAATGTCTGTCATCACCTTACCCCTGTCAAGCTGCTTCTGTACTCTTTCCTGACAGTTTCTATTTCTTTAGGTTATAATGAGTCGCGCTAGGTAATTTTTTCATTGTACGACTGGAGTACCCGTGAGAACAATTCAAGGGGTTTATTTTGGCTTATGGTTTCAGAGGGTTCTTGGCCTCATGTGCTTGGGCAGAGGAACTTCTCCATCTCATGGTAGACAAGAAGCAGAGAGAGAGAGAGAGAGAAAAAGAAGGCAGTTAGGGACCAGGGTTTGATTTCCATGACCTACTTTTTCCAACTAGGTCTGAATTCCTTCCTTTTACCCATTCTGACAATAACATCTTGTTCTGAATCTATGAAGAGATGACTCCATTACTTAGATAAGAGTTCTCAGAACCCCACCACATCCCCAAAGTCCATCCTTTGGCAGTGAAGCCCCCTGAGAGACCTTTCTTGTCTACACTATAGCATGACTGAGTCCAGAGTTTTAGAGCATAGCACTGTGGTTCTGATTGTATGTGCTCAGTAAATGCCATGTCACTCTGTGGAACTGACATCTAAATGATGCTCAGTAGAAGGTCAGCAGTGATCATGCAAACCCATTCTAAGGGGAAGGGCTTCCCTCTGCCTCAGTCTTTCTGTTCCAACGACCTACTGCAGTGATAGTCCCTGTCATTCTGTTCTCCATCTCTTCTTTGACATCCCTTCTCCAGGAAAGCAAAGCTACTGAAAGAGGAAATAGCTGCACTGGTTACGATGTGTCATCTTGT